AACTTAATTACTGATGAGTTCAATGTTATTTTGCCAAAATGAAAAATACGAGGCTCCAGTTTTCATCTACTTCTCTTTTTTTCCTTATTATTATTATTTTTTTTTATAGAGATGGAGCCTCACTATAGAGCCCCAGCTAGTCTCAAACTCCTGGGCTCAAGCAATCCTCCTGCCTTGGCCTCCCAAAATGCTGAGATTACAGGCTTGAGCCCCAACACTTGGCCTACCCTTTCTATCTTAACATAACCTTGTCTCTATTGTATTTTTCTTGTCCCATTCCTTCCACTACTTCAGAAAATATGGTTGTTGTTCCTTTCCTCTGAAGAGAACAGAGGAATCCATGCTATCCTGATTTTTCACAGACCTTTTCCCGACACCCACCATTTTTGGCAGAATCTTCTCTACTCCATCAGCTCTCTGATGCTGCTGCATTTGATAACAGTAACGGACCACATTTTTATTACATTCTCTTTCCCTGAATACTATCATGATATTGTCCTATTTCTAGTTCTCATTCCACATCTCAAATATTCCCTATGCTGATTTTCCACTCTCTCACCCTTAATACCCTTTCCTTCCTCCCCCAGTTAATGCTTTCTTCTTCTGCTTTCTCTCTGTCTCATGGAGAATGAGGTAGGGGAGGAGAGGGAGTGGGAAATATGAGGCAGGGTGGAAAGGATGTTTCTGCTGGCAATTTGTCACTCTCACATATACTGAGATGGAAACAAGTTGAGAACTATTGCTCATTACTCTCTGGAGAATTCATTTAGTGTCAGAACTACTATATTTACTCTATGTAGTAATTCCCCAATTTGATTTTTCCCTGTAATTTTAGCCTCTTGCAGATGGATCACCTGACGTCACGAGTTTGAGACCAACTTGGATAACATGGTGAAACCCCATCTTTACTAAAAATACAAAATTATCCGATGTGGTGGCACACGCCTATCATCTCATTTACTCGGGAGGCTGAGACACGAGAATCATTTGAACCTGGGAGGTGGAGGCTGCAGTGAGCTGAGATCTGTGACTGCTGCACTCCAGCCTGGCCAAGACAGAGTGAGACTCTCTCTCAAACAAACAAACAAACAAAAAATTTAATCTCTCTCCTGAGACCCAGCCCATGCTTCTAGCAGTATAATGAACACTTATATATATATATATATATATATATATATATATATATATTTTTTTTTTTTTTTTTTTTTTGAGATGGAGTTTCGCTCTTGTTACCCAGGCTGGAGTGCAATGGCGCGATCTCGGCTCACCGCAACCTCCACCTCCTGGGTTCAGGCAATTCTCCTGCCTCAGCCTCCTGAGTAACTGGGATTACAGGCACGCGCCACAATACCCAGCTAATTTTTTGTATTTTTAGTAGAGACGGGGTTTCACCATGTTGACCAGGATGGTCTCGATCTCTTGACCTCATGATCCACCCGCCTCGGCCTCCCAAAGTGCTGGGATTACAGGCTTGAGCCACCGCGCCCGGCCGAACATTTATATTTTTATGTCCCACCAGCGGACATTTCCAATTCAACACAACCAAACTTTGGCATCAGTTTTCCCATATGAAATAATTCCCTTCATACCTTCCCTATCTTTTGAAAGATCCAACTAATCTCTATTACCCAGGTTTGAAAAATCGTGTCATCATTGGGAAGGCCACATTATCCTCATCAAAGAGAGGGGCCAAAGAACTCTATCTCAAGTGCTATCCACATTAATTCTTCCTGCTACACTCACTACAATCTGACCTCTAGCCTAATATCAAACTAAAAGACCAGCTTCTTCATGTCATTTCCTTATCTAGCAATTTATAATAGCTCCAATATCAGCTATACATAAAGTGTAAACACCGGTAACAATGGGTCCTTCAAAATCTGACAACCATCTTCACACCCTATTTACTATTTTTCTCTACTGAAGCATTTCTCAAACTTGTTGTTCCCAGAGCCCTTTACAGTCTTAAAAATGATTGAGGACACCCAATAACTTTTGTCTATATGAATTATATCTATCTATATCTACCTCATTATAAATTAAAATTGAGAAAAATTTAAAACACAAAGTACAGAGGCACACATTGCATTAACTGTCAGAGTAATGTCATCACATCATGTACCCTGAAAAACTCCATGGACAATTGTGAGAGAATGAGAGTGAAAAAGCCAAGTAACAACTTAGTATTAATGCGAAAAGAGTGTTGACTTCTAGTACCCCTGGCTCACTTTGAGAATATTGCTCTACTTTGCTTCTCTTATCCATCTCTTTATCAATCATTAATGATTACTTATGACTGGTTTTTGCATGCATCAATAGGCTGGAGAAAGGAAAAACACTGATAACCAGAGACTGACAAAATAATCTCCAAATTCATCGGCATGCTTGCCCATTCTCATTCTGACAAAACCTCTCCATTTTATGTTCTACTATTATCATTTCCTTTACCTCCTATGCTGTGCACTTCAACCAAGCTTGAAGGTCCTAAGTAGAACCCTTTCCTGCTTCAGTATCTTTCAATAAACTATTCTCTTTGCCCAGAGGGTTTTTTTCTTGCTCATCCTTTGGATCTAGTTCAGAGGTTCTCTCTTCTGTGAAGTCTTCCCTTGATATATCCCCTTCCCAATTACCCTCTTCTCTGTGCTTCCATAGCAGATTGGAGCTACTCACATTGCACTGCAATTATTGTTTATATGTCTGTCATCCCACCAGATAGTCAGTTACATGAAGACAGATTTGCATCATACTCATTTTTGCATTTCTTCTTTTTCTCAGGATAGAGTTTGGCTCTTGTTGTCCAGGATGGACTACAGTGGTGTGATCTCGGCTCACTGCAACCTCGCCTGCCAGGTTCAATCGATTCTCCTGCCTCAAATCCCTGAGTAGCTGGGATTATAGGTGCCTGCCACCATACCCGGCTAATTTTTTGTATTTTTAGTAGAGACAGGGTTTTGTCATGTTGGCCAGGCTGGTCTCAAACTCCTGACCTCAGGTCAGTCTCCCAAAGTGCTGAGATTACAGAAGTGAACCACCAAACTCAGCCTCATCTTTGCATTTCTAGTACCTCAAGCCTAGTTGGAACCCAAACATTTGACTTCATTTGAATCTGTCTGAATTGAATGAGTCAGTTTAATACACATCTGTCCGCAAATACTCCAGACCACAGTACTTGCTCTTTCCTCTGCATTTCTGCAGTACTCTACAGAAACTAAGAAAAAAGACTAAAGGAAAATAAGTTATTCCTTCCCACAAAAAAGATTAGGGATTCTGGCGCATTTGAGCAAGTCTAACTCCCTAGTTGAGGGCCTCTATCAAGTGGCTCTTCTTCACCTTTTCAAACTTATTTTTCATTATTCTTCACCATTAACTTACCACTTCTGCCATTTAATAAACATATAAACACACAATATCCATTCTATTTTTAATCCTTCGGTTTAGACTCTTCCCTCCCCTAGAAATTCCATTTCCCTGTCATTCTAAACTCTCTTCCTGAAAAGATTTGTTAAATTGATTTAAAAGTGGTGTTTTTTTTACAAAAAGAAAAGAAAAAAAAAAAAATGACTGGTTTAACCCAAAAATTCCATGAAGCTTTCTAGGACTATACCATATCAAAGGAAAATTTCCCCTTTTTGAATGTCAAACGCATTTCCACAGATTTACCACAGTTTACCTACCATTTTTCTCACAAAACCCACTATTTCTGGTTCTTAAACAGTTTCAGGTAAGTCAATGATGCCACCTCAAACAGCTTGACAGCCTTTTAAGGACAGGTACTGTCTTCACTCAAAACATCTCAGTGCCATCATGCACCAGACAATGGCAAGGTTTCTAATTTTATTTCTTTTGTATCAGCCCTTGCTACTGACAGGAAGATCAAGACATGTGATAAACACTGTTCCCTTTTCTTGATTTTCTTCCTAACTGTTCAGAAGAATCCAGGTTATTATTTTTTTCTTTTTCTTTTAATATAGGGTCTCACTATATTGCCCAGGCTGGTCTCAAACTTCTGGGCTCAATGGATTGTCTTGTGTCACTTTCCAGAGCAGGTGAGCTTTCAGAGTAGCTGGGATTACAGGCGCACACCACCACACCCAGTTTGGGTTATTTTTTTTCTAGGAAACATTGCATCCATAGATATAATTACCAATTTGAAAATAAATAGGTGCTGTGAGATGCATCTCGGCACCCTAACACAGCAAGCTTAAATAAGTCGCTTCATTTTATAGGTAACTCACTCTGGGTTCTCAACATACCTATTTTTAATGGCCCTTCCCTTTTTTGCTCCCTCACCTTAGACATATCTTTATTTTAGTTCTTAGAGTTTTAGCTCCCTTCACACATTCAGATGCATGGTTACTGGTAATAATGTCAAACCATTTAAGGAGAGCCAAAGAAATGAGGCAAGTAAAAATCATGCATAAAATGAAAACAATCTTTGAAAACCAAGAAGTTCTGGTAATTGAGTCGCAGACCAATCCTTTTCCTTAAATGGAATTTGTCTAAAGAGCCACATCTTCCCCATCACCATTCTCTTAAGAATCAACACACAATTGGGGCATTAGTTGGAAATCAGACTTATCATAACCATCAAAACTTAGTCCATGGTATCATGGATTGATGGTAACTTCTTAAGATCACTTTCTCCAATTCTTCACTTTTTTGCATACGTGATAAGGTCAGTAAGAAGAGATAAAGTAGAAAATTATAGTTTAAAATAATCGTAAGATTTAGGATGCTCTAAGTCCTTTTTGTTTGTATCAACCACAATTGAATGTTGAACTCTTAAACACTGCAGGAGAAACCCGAGGTTAGGGGCAATTCTTTTCGATGTATGTACACGGGAATATTCTCTCAACATGGAAGTCTTGGAATGAATTTCATGTAAGAAGGGGACTGATGAATGAGGAAAGAAATAAAGCCATCACCTTTATGCAGCAGCTCCCTCACCCCGTTTTCCTCCACCCCAAAAGCTGTAGGTAGTAGAAAGCGGCAGAATGTACCTTCCAGGCCAGGAGCAAAACATTGAGGATGGCCAGCAAGGGGCAGGGTCCATTCTCATTCTGGGTGATGATGGGTGTGTTCTCTTCCTTCCACTGGATCCACTTGATGTGATACACAGATTGTCCCGGGAAGCGTTCCTTGGAGGCCGCCAGCACCTGAGCGTTCTCCTCCTCCTCCTCCTCCTCCTCTTCCTCCTTGCACAGAGGAACAGCCCCGGGCAACACTGCCGCACCCTCCTCCTCCTCCTCAGGGACCCTGTTCTCCGCTCCCTCCTCACTATTGAACTCGCAGCTACTGGGGAAAGAATGCAGGTTAGAGAACGACTCCAGAGAGTCCAGGCTCGGCGACTCCCCAGGAGGGCTTGGGTCGCTGCAACTGCTGCTGAGGCCGCCGGCGCTGCTGGGTTCTTCGGAGCCGGCGGCCGTCAGCTCTGTTTGGCAGGTGCTGGCGAGATCCGGGCGGACTCCCGCGTCTCCAGCGGGACCCAACTCATGACCCACTCTGGCCTCGGCTGTCTCGGGGGAGGCGGTCACCTTGTACTGCCCTCTCAGAGGCACCTCGGCGGCAGCAGGACACTCCAAAGCACTATCCTTCAAGTCCAAACCCGGGGCGGAGCTGCAGGGTCCGGGAGCCTCAGGACAGCCCGCGGGAGAAGCCGAGTCCGGGAGGCTCCTCCTGGCGGCCGCCGCCCCCTGCCCATTCCCGCCGCCGCTCTCCGCCGCCCATACTCCAGGACCATCCCCAGCGGCGAGCCTGGTCTCCTGAAGCCCTTCCTGCGAAGAACCTATCCTTGACGCTGGCCCGGCCGCCACCCCGTGTTCTAGCGGCTGCAAGCTCTCGGGGCTGCTCTCCATACCTGGCCGCCCGCCCCCCGCTTTATGGAGACCGCGGCCAGTTCTCCGCAGCCAGCGCCTCGGACGCCATGATAGCTGTACTGGCAGCAACAGCGCCCTGGCGCGGCCTCGGCCAGGCACGTCACTGGGGAGGGCACTAAGAGCCCGCTCGCGCGCGCTACCGCGTTCTCCACGCACTGTGAGCTTGCCTCCGCGTGACTGCGCGCGAAGGGAAGAAGGCGAACCACTCAGCAGCCGCCCATGCGGCCCCGCCCCTTCCGTGCTCCCGCCCGAGCTCGCGCTCCGAAGGCCGGGCGTGGAGGGCGTGGCTAGGAGGGCGTGGCCGGGGGGCGCGCCCCCGCGGCTCAGCTCCAGTAGAAAAACATCCTCTCACTATGTGGCCGGAAGTTGAACTCCCGGGCAGCTTGATTGTGTGCGGCTTCTTTAAAGGCAAGGCAGGCGGCGGACAGCTTGACTGTGACTGTTTAGCGCTGGGTCGTGTGTGGTCCACCCTCGGGCTCAGGCATTGTGGGGTGGTTGGAGTGGTTGGAGTGTTTGGAAAAGAACTTGTCCCTGAAGGGCTCAGGAGACTTGTTTTCTCAGTTCCTAATATGGAAAATGGAAGACATTTCTTACGAGATGCAGATTTTAAAGCGGGCATTTACTCGAGGGGTTTGGATTACTGCACTGCACAAATTCCAGTTCCCCTCGGTTTTTGCTGAGAAGAGCTGTGCTTCTCACGAGCTGCTGGGGAGACGTTCGCCCTACAGGAGGGGTCAGTGTGGTTGTAGACATGGACCTGAGCAGCAAAAGAAAGTGGCTAATTTGCGCCAATAATAACAAATTATTAGCTTATGTTTGAATTAGCCAAGTCTTTGCGGTTTTGCTAACTTGTCTTGGCTTTGCATGGAGTGGGAAGCGCCAGCTTCTGAAAAAGTGACTTTTTTTCCTAATTAGAATGGACTCCTTTTGAGGCCATGCAGTTTTCAAAAAAGACAAGCTGGACGTTTTGTTAGTAACAGATAAAATGTATATGGGTCCTATTCTAACTTGTTCCAGAAAAGGGCTTTTTTTCCCCATTTTTTTTCTTTCAACATTTTCTAGGCTCTTGGGAATACAAAAATTAACAAGACAGGCCTTCCTTCACAGACATATAAATACCTGATACATAATTAGAATGGGATATTTTTGTAACTCCGTTGGTTATAGAAGTCACACAAAATTGCAAAGTAGTATTTCATTCATTCGTTTAATACATTTTAGTACCAAGTAAGTTGCTGGATGCCATCTGGCACTGGATGCCGTAGTGGACCACAGAGCTTATATCTTCATGGAGCTTAATGTCTGGTGGTGTTTTTTTTTCTTATTGTTATATTTTTAATACATATTTATATGTATTACGTATAATACATGTATATTTAATACTTATATTCTTGTTTACCTGAGAATGCATATGACTGTGTCTTTTTTTTTTGAGAACGATGGTGCAATCCTGGCTCATTGTAACCTCCACCTCCCAGGTTCAAGCAATATTCCTGCCTCAGCCTCCCAAGTAGCTGGGATTACAGGCGCACACCACCATGACCAGCTAATCTTTTTGTATTTTTAATACAGATGGGTTTCACTGTGTTGACCAGGCTGCTCTCGAACTCCTGACCTTGTGATCCTCATTGACGTAATACTATGGTGTATGTCCAACTCTTGGTAAATAGGAAAATTAGAAAAGATAATGGAGAGTTTTTCTAGAATGTTGAATTTAGCAGTTGTGTGTGCTTTTGATCTCCATATCAATCCATAAACAATAAATCCTGTTCTTAAATTTGAATTTTTTCCCTAAAAAACTGCAGCTGTTAATAGGTTAAAGTATATGCTGCTGCTTTAATCACTTTATAGTATTTTAGGCCATGAAGTATAAATAAGAATAACACAGATTTCAGGAAATTTAGAATTTAGTATGGTACCTCAAATGTAAAAAGGAAATCTATAAAGCTGTGTTATATGAATAAATTAAAAAATGAATTATTTATAGGCCAGTGAGCCATAGGAGAGCCAAAAATCATGGTATACATTTCTCAAATAAAGGCCCTTCACCATTTTTCAAAATGTGTACTTAGATAAACCTGTACTTGCTGTGGTAGTTTTTATTGGCATGTGTTTCAAATGCTCACATGGCATCATTTAATAATTTATTTGTAACAGAAACAGAATCAGTTTTTCTTTTCATGTGTGGTCAGCAATTACTTTAGCCTAGATAAAGAGCTGTGAAAATGTAGGTGGATATTTAAGTTCATGAAAATGTACATAGTTATTTTTTAGGGGGGTTAGGGAGTGGCATCTAGGGAAAATATGAGAAGACAAACTGATATTTTATTCTTATTTTGCCTATATGTATCTTTAGGTAAACTCCGAGTTAAAATTGCCATTTATTTTTTGGTTTTGAGACAGACTGTTGCTCTGTCACCCAGGCCAGAGTGCAGTGGCATGATCTCGGCTCACCTTGACCTCCGCCTCCGGGGTTCAAGCAATTCTTCTGCCCAGCCTCCTGAGTAGCTGGGACTACAGGTGTGTGCCACCACACCAGGCTAATTTTTTTTTTTTTTTTTGAGACGGAGTTTCACTCTTGTTACCCAGGCTGGAGTGCAATGGCGCGATCTCAGCTCACGGCAACCTCCACCTCCCAGGTTCAGACAATACTCCTGCCTCAGCCTCCCGAGTAGCTGGGATTACAGGCACGTGCCACCATGCCCAGCTAATTTTTTGTATTTTTAGTAGAGACGGGGTTTCACCATGTTGACCAGGATGGTCTCGATCTCTCGACCTCGTGATCCACCCGCCTCGGCCTCCCAAAGTGCTGGGATTACAGGCTTGAGCCACTGCGCCCAGCCATTTTTTTTTTTTTTTTTTTTTTTTTTAAACAGAGTTTTGCTCTTCTCACCCACACCGGAGTACAGTGGCACAATCTCGGCTCATTGCAACCTCTGCCTTCCAGGTTCAAGCTATTCTCCTGCCTCAGCCTCCTGAGTAGCTGCGACTACAGGCATGCACCACCACCCCGGGCTAATTTTTATATTTTTAGTAGAGATGAGGTTTCACCATACTGGCTAGCCTGGTCTCAACCTCCTGATCTCGTGATCTGTCAGTCTCGGCCTCCCAAAGTGCTGGGATTACAGGCGTGCGCCACCATGCCCAGCCAAGATTTCCATTTTTAAGTTAAATAGATACTATCCAAATTTAATTTAATTTATTTATTTTAGACAGGGTCTCACTCTGTCACCCAGGCTGGAGAGTAGCCGCACAGTCATGTCACAATGAAATCTCAACCTCCCAGCTTCAAATGAGCCTCCTGCCTCAGCCTCCTGAGTAGTTGGGACTACAGGCGTACACCACCGTGCCCTGCTAGTTTTTAAAATTTTTGTAGAGTACATTGCACAGGTGGGTCTTGAACTCCTAAGTTCAAGCAATCTTGGTATCCCAAAATGCTGGTATTACAGGCATGAATGACTGCCTGGCCATTATAAAAAATTTAAAATTATTTTTCCAAAGTACAGATGTAATAGTCTTAAAAGTTAAATAGTTTATATAAAAACAAAGCAGTTCCCTGTTCTGTCCTTCCAGAACCTTGAGTCCTGTTCTTTCTAAACAGCCTCACAGTCTCTTTCAACTCATAGCTTTTTATGTTTCATTTTTTGACAGGGTGTCACCATGCTGCCTGGACTAGAGTACTGTGGCTATTCACAGTGGCTGTTGTGGCACACTACAGCCTCTAACTTAGCTCAAACAATCCTACAGTCTCAGTCTCCAGAGTGGCTCAAACTCTAGGTATTCACCATCACACCCAGCCTCATAACTGTACTTTAGCTCTTTGTACTTACGTTTCTGAGAAACTGACTACACTCTGGTTTCTTCATTTAACAATTGTAGGCTGGGTGCTGTGTCATATTCCTGTAATCTCAACACTTTGGGAGGCCAAGGTGGGAAGATTGCTTGAGCCCAGGAGTTCAAGGCTGCCATGAGGTACAATGGCACCACTCTGCTCCAGCCTGGGTAACAGATAAGACCATCTTAAAAAAAAAAAAAAAAAAAAAATACCCGAAAGACTGTATTCCATTCACTGGACAGAAAAAAATAATTGTAGATATTGTTTATTGATTTATTCACATGGAAGATGAGGGTTTACTTCTTTTTTTTTTAACTTCTTTCATGTCGTTCTTCCTCCTATTTCTCCAATCTTCCAATTATTTCATAATTTTTGATTAAATACTCAAAGATTAAAGCATTAGAGCTATGTAAGTATTCACCACTAAGTCCAGTATTTTACTGTGATTTATTTTTGTGTTAAACTTTTTGTCTGTCTTGGAATTAACACTTCCCTCAAAGAAAAAAAAGAACAAACAAAAACAAAAATAACCTAGTTTCCTCAATATTTTGTCTATTTGCTTAATTCTTCACTTCCCACTAAGCCACAGAGTTAGCAGTATGATGAATCATATCAAGTTATTGCTCAGGTCCCTTTTAATGCTGGATACATCCCACCTGGAACACTCATTTCTCTTGCTCTGTTCTGGACTTCATTTTTTTTTTGTTGTTGTTGTTTGAGATAGAGTTTCGCTCTTCTTGCCCAGGCTGGAGTGCAATGCAGCAATCTTGGCTCACTGCAACGTTAGCCTCCCAGATTCAGGCAATTTTCCTGCCTCAGCTTCCCGAGTAGCTGGGATTACAGGCATGTACCACCACGCCCGGCTAATTTTTTTGGATTGTTAGTAGAGATGGGGTTTCTTTATTTTGGTCATCATGTTGGTATCGAACTCCTGACCTCAGGTGATCTGCCTGCCTTGACCTCCCAAAGAGCTGGGATTACATGCGTGAGCCACTGCACCCAGCCTGACTTGTTTTATAAGCCTGCCACACAAGCGTCATCCTGGGATTTCTCTTGATTACTTTCTGAGGAATTCCTTCTTCTCTTGTGTTGATTCCTTTCTTTCTTGGATCTCCTGTCTTCCGTTTTCTTTAATGATACATACTTCTTTCTTTGTTTCTTTTTCATAATAGAGATAGAGCCTCCCTCTGTTGTTCACCCTGGAATGCATGACACCATCATGGTTCATTGTAGCATCAAACTCCTGGGCTCATGTGGTCCTCCTGCCTCAGCCTCCCAAGTAGCTAGGATTACAAGCACATGCCACCATGCCTGGTTCATTAAAAAAAAAGAATATAT